CGCAGAGGGAACCAAGATCAACTTGTGACTGCACTGCTCGTTCACCATGCAGCATTTTGAAGTGTACCAAGGAGCACTTTTGAATACAGCTGGTTTGGGATGTTGTCATGAGGTGAAAATACACAATGTGGACAATAAGGCATCAGAGCAAACCATAAATGGCAATTCCATAAAATTAAGAATTTAACCAGCCAAGAACACAGAGATGTCAAGTTGAGTTAATTTGACTTTAATAAGTGAAAGACATAATCACATTCAATTTGTCAAAAACATGGATGAGATTAATTTTCAAGTGCAAACTGGACACAGTCTAGATATCAAATCTTCATTGGTAACTCTTGTGTTAAAGTTTTACCATGGGCATTACCCACATTGAGTTAGGAGGTACACATTGGCAAAGGCCTTTTTCCAATCAATCCATCTGCATCAAATTAGGGGTGACCTATATAAGGTTCAGCAAAAGTAGCAGTGTTGGAAGTAGGGAGAAAAAAAGAAGGAAAAAAGAAGACGAAATGGATCCAAAGTTTGTCCAGGAAATCATGGATTTCAAAATCCATAGTCTTTTGCCAGATGGCATTACCAAACAGAGGTATGCCATTAAGAGACGAGCGTCTACATTTGTGCTCAAGGGTAAGTAGTAATGCTATACACCATCAATCACTAAGAAATTGTATTGTATTAAGTTTTTTTAACAGATGAGTACTGCACTACATTTGTAGAAGGCGTAAAGAAAGGGAACATTTGGCCAAGGTGGTTCTCACGGCTGCAGAGGCAGATGAGGTGTTTCAACAAATGCACTGCAGCGCTCTTGGCTCCCACTGTGGTGTAGAAAAGACTCATGCGATTATCAGCCGCTATTATTGGCCAGGACTGGAAGCTGATATCCAAAAATGGGTAAGAAGTGACACCCAATTTATCGATTTCTTTTTTTTTTTTTTTTACAAGAAGGCCTTGTTACGACCTGGCTCAAAGGCTGCAACATAAGGGAGACAAGATGAGTGATAAAAGTAATAAATAGACATTTATTTAACAAACAAATAACCACTAAACTAAAACAAACAACCAACCAAAGAATTAATCAAATGAAGCAGCTGCCGTGAGAGTCAGATAGGAGAGGAGGTGAGGCACCCCGCCATGTTCAGGTGGTACATCTTTATAGCTGGCCATTTCCAGCAGGCTCAGGTGGGGCTCGTTAGCTGCCGATCAACATCCTGAAAGACAGAGTGGGCAGCAAACAGGACACAGACCCCTAGTGGATGGGAGGGGTCGTCACAGGCCTACTAAAAATCTGTCAAAGCTGTAATAAAATATTTGTATATAAACACTCAAATAAATCTTCATCTAAGCCTACTGTTTGTGCTAGACTAAAGGCCTACATATATTTAACTTGAATATCATTTGGCTACATGTTGCTCAGTGTCCAGTCTGCCAGGCAAAGCGAGCCAGTCTCAAAGAAAAGACTCAATACAACCCAATAGAGGTGAGGTTATTGTGTAAATGAATGTACCATGCAGCTAAATGTGCTTACATACCAGTTACTTCATACAGATGTCTAATTATCCTTCAACTCTTTCACGATACAGAGCCATTTGAGTTGGTTGGAATGGATCTGATGAAGCTCACTGTAACCAAGGGTGGGAATCAATACATTTGTGTAATGGTTGATTATTTCACTAAGTGGGCAGAGGCCTACCCTCTGAAGAATAAATCTGCAGAGCTAGTGACCAATTGTATTATTGATTTTGTATAAAAATGTGGTGCACCTCAGAGACTGCTTACAGATCAGGGGACAGAGTTTAAAAATCAGGTAAAGTAATGACACATGTTAGTTGTTATTAAGCCATGATGTAAATGCTGACTCGTTTTCTGCTAAATGCAATTTAAGGTGAATGCCAGACTCTGTCAAGCCCTTTTCATAAAAAGAAGCTTCTGCTCACCTTACCATCCACAAACAAATGGTTTGGTTGAGAAGCGTGATGGTACCATACAGAGGTAAGTTGCATATTCTGAAATTGACACATACTATGAATGCAGTAGAATAAATTGTTGACATGAAATGGCTGATTTTTCAGGTCTCTTGGCAAACTTGCCAGACAAAATCCCCAAAAATGGGATCAATACCTCCAAGCAGCAATGTTTGGAATTCGAACAAAAAAGCAGTTAATTACCCAGCACAGTCCATACTATTTAATGTTTGGAAGAGAGGCACGATACCCATCGGAGGTGCCAATGGAGTACTCACACATAAATGCATGAATGGACACGCACTTCCCTACCTACAAGAACTCATCACTCCCCAAATCTCCACCCGCACCCTCAGATCATCAAACAGCTCGCTCCTCCGGATCCCCAACACCAAGCTCCGCACCATGGGCGACCGGGCATTTGGCTTGGCAGCTCCACGCCTATGGAACAGTCTCCCTGACCACCTAAGGGCAACACAGACACCGGTCTCTTTTAAAACTGGCCTAAACACCTTTTTATTCAGGAAGAATAAAAAGAAAAGAAAATCTGACATAAATCACTGTCAGTTATTTATTTTGTGTTTCGCTTCATTCACTGTTTTTTTATGCTTACTAGTTGTTTTATTATAGTTTGTTTTAATTATGTTTTAACTATGTTTTTTACTATGTACTGGCTCTGTGGCACTCTGAGATCTTTTTAATGAAAAGTGCGTTACAAATAGAATACATTATTATTATTATTTAGGTAAGTGGCTCCATTTCTTCTGGCGTGACGGGGTTAGGGTTGTGATTAGTTAGAACATTTTTTTTTGTTTTTTACTTCAGGTGACAACAGACAAAGTGGAGAATCTTGTTTTGAGGGGGGAAATCTTTAAAGGACTCGAGCACCAACAAAAGGTGTACGCAACAGTGAAAATAAATGTGAAGAGAACTCAAGACAAGGTTCGTAAACACAAGCTGGAAAGAGGTTGGGAGGACAATTTTAAAGTTGGCGATATTGTCCTAAAAAAACATCCGGGAAGAGCAGCGAAAAGGGGGAAAATGGAGAGAGACATGCTGCATCTTATAAACTATAATATGTCACTTTGCAGCTTGATGTAAGAGAGTGGGACACTCTTGTTGGAGCTGTCTGCAAGAACCACCATTGGACTCTAGTGGTAAGTGTACTTAAACCAATGCAATTTATGCAACTAAATATCAAACTGTGAGA